TCTTGCTATGTCATTCAGGCTGGTCTTGACCTCACTATGTAACTCAGGCTTGCCTCAAACTCACAGCAACCCTCCTGCCACAGTCTCCTGAGTGCTGGCATTATAGACACACGTCTGCCACCATGTCTGCCTCCATCTTTCTTGCTTCTGTGTCTTCTCAGTTTTTTTCCCCTCTAAATTTAAATCCTGGGTTGATGCTTGTAAATAGCTAATGGCAGTTAGCTTTATTGCTAGTGTTGAGAACCCTTAGAAAATGATTATCTCTCATAGATGTTTTACAGGTGTAGCTGGCCTTTGGATTTTGAGTATGTTGCAAGACCCTTCCTCTTCAATTTATTGAGAATCAGAAGTTGCTACCTATTTGGCCTATCATCTGGTTCTTTGGTACTATCTAATAGTAGTTTTTGTGGCCCTCAGGTAATCTCAGTCTTGGCATACTGTTTAGAACAATTATGTCACCTTGGCTAAAGTAGTAAAATCAGCAATAACAATAGCATCAAACAGCCTAGAAAATGACAAACTGGCAACTATTAAATTGTCATGTTTAACTGTATGAACTATATTTATGATTATATAACAAAATGTAAAACAAACCAGAAAATTGTATACAGTAATTAAGCCCTCAATATGGTAATTTTATGCTCAGGGGAGAAAACTTCAAAGGAATTAGGGAGCAAATAGAGAAATAAAAGAAGAAACAGATTAGAGGTAAGGCTAGAAGGCAAAAGAAGATTATTATTGGGGAAACTGGTAAGAAAAGAGGAGAGGAAAGCAAGAAAGAAGAAATGAAAACAAGAACAACAACAACAACAAAAATATCCACTTCAGAGCCTGTCTCTGGTAGACAGTGTGGGCAGACAGCCCAGATCTGTGTTGATTGATCCCAGCAACCAGCTGTAGATTTATGGCAGGGTAGTTGATAATCCCAGCAAGGCTGCACCTTTAGTCCCAGTGATGTTTAGGGTGGTTTCTGGCTGTGAGACTGGAACCCAATTTTTTCAGCCTGTATCATTCCATGTTATGCCTGCTGGTTTGAATTTGGCTCCTTGACCTCCTACAAAATTGAACTCAGTTCCGCCTCACCCTGACACTGAGAGCCACTAGATGGAGCCAGCCTGCAGCTGCTCTGAGTTCTGATCTCAGTTGGGTCCTCTCTAAGATGCCTATCAGCCAATTGCCCTCTCCTGGGGGCATCTGAACCCAAAGAACTCACTGCAGTCCTCTGTCCACTGCTTCATTCCACTGGTGCATTTCTTTTTGAAGGCCCCTGGGGTTGCCATTATTCACTGTGCATCTGCAGGTTCATGCTGCCCCTCCCATATAGTGAGTCAGGCTTGAAGAAAGTGCTGCTTACCATCTCCTTCTGTGTTGAAGCCTCTTTTTGCTCTCCCTGTGGGCTTCAATTCTAACTTCAGATCCTGGCTAGGTATAGGGAACCCACTTTCCTCGCTTTTTTCCTCATGTTGCTATATTACAATATCTGGACACAAAATCATAGAGAGGCTGTTTCTCTGCTGTTTTCCACTCTATCATATTCCTGAAAGTCTATTTGATTTAATTATAAAATGTTTTTAAAATGTACAGTCTTTTCTGGGGGTGAGGTTGAGACAGGATCTCGCTATGAGTTCAGGCTGACCTTGAACATGGGCAGTCCTGCCTCATCCTCTCATGGGCTGGGATTACAGGTATGCAACAGCACACATGGCTCCAAGTACGCAACCTTATCAACTTTATATTAAACAAGATAAAGGTAATCACTAAACTTCATGTGGTGGTATATGCTTGTAATCCTAGCACTCTAGGAGGCTGAAGCAGGTAGATCATAATTTCAAGACCAACCTGGGAAATTTGATGAAAACTTATCTCAAAATGAAAAATAAAAAATAGGCTGGAAGTATAGCTCAGTGCAAAGGCCCTGGATTGAATCCTTAGTACAGAAACCAAACAAACAAAAATAAAAACAAACTCTCCAATCCTGCTACAAAAATCTCTAATCCTGCTGGTATCACTTGTACATTTTTAAATTATTTTTTTTATTAACTATATTAATTGTACGTATTGATGGCTTTTGCTGTGGTATTGAATACATATATACAGCATTGCATCAAACAAATCCCACTTCCTTTTATCCTTTTACCCTTTCCCAATCTCAAATAACCATGATTTTTTGTTTGTGTGTGTTTTGTGGAGCTGGGGATGGAAACCAGGGGCTTGTGCATACTAGGCAAGTGCTCAACCATAGAGCCACATCCCTACTTGGCCACCGTTCTTTTTCTAGTTGTCTTTTTGTTTCATTTCTTAACTTTCGCATGTGAGAGAACGCATATGGTCTTGGCTTTCTGTGTTTGGCCTATTTTGCTTTGTGTATCTGTCAGTTGTCATGTTAAGAGTGGAGGCAGCATGATGAGCTGTTTCTTCTCTGCTTGTTTTATCCTTGTTCTAAACAACTCTCTCTCTCTCTCTCTCTCTCTCTCTCTCTGCCTTCATCACTATTTAGCTAAACTGCAGTTCCTAGGCACTTGTTTCCCTTGTTATACTTCGCTTTGGAATATCTACTAATGCTATATAAGTTTGTATAAAATACTTTGAACTTGGGCCCTTACGCTTGCAAGGCAGGCGGCAGAACCACTGAGCCAAATCCCTGGCTATAAAATACTTTTTGATAAACTAGAATCAGCCCAGACTTTTAAAAGGTGTTACACATTCATTTGTTGGCTTATAAAGTCGGGGGCAATCATCTACATTTATTATTTATTTACTAGTTTAAGGTTTAATAATTTCCTATAATTTTTATATAATATACTTTAATATTTTACACATACAAGCTTTCTAAGATGGCAAAGCTGAGAATTTGATTATAATAACTAGAATTAATTTCCATTAAGGTATATACAGGCTTTGTAATTTATTTTTACCAACTTTTTAAAAAGATAGCAAATTTTTTAAAAAATTTATTTTTGTTAGTACATGTTTGCAAATCATGATTACAGTTATCCTGAGGAGCTGGTACATGTGTATATCACATCTTAATTCCTTTTATATTCCCTTTCTTTTCTCTCATTCCTTTTCTATCTTTTGATCCCCTTCCTAGTTTAACCATCTTTTTTTTTTTTTTTTTTTTTTTTTTTTTTCC